GCGGCGCCATTATTTGACGACGTGCCCATATCCCCCGCACTTGTAGCACATGGACCTTTTACCCTGGCCTTTTTCCTGCACAAACTTCGCTCGATTCCTGGTTCCCGCTGTCTTTCCTTTACTGGTCCACCAGTTTCCACCCTCGTCATAATCATCGGACTCGTTCACGTTCGTGCCATACCCCCTGGCATATTCATCGTTCATTTGACCGATCTCCATGGAGTAGGTGGTTCTTCGCGTCGGCGCCAATGACTTCTGATTTGGGCATTATCCCGACACTTGATGATAAGTTTCTGGCAGGTGTCGATATTCAACGGTTCTGGCGTCTTGAAAACAGTCACGCTGCCAGTCATCGAAGCGATCGATCACCTGCGTGGGTCACGATGATCCTCAAGGCAGTGACCCTGACCGACAAAGGTAGAGAGCATGCATCCCAGCGATTCTTAAGGCGCTCTACCAGCGCACTCCACTGCTCCAGGTGCGTCGCAACGTCGTTCGCCCTCTTGGGTGTTCGTGGATTCGTGGCCAGGTTCACTTTGTGTGACAACGTGACTCTTGCAAGGGCCGTCCTCCGTTACGTATAAATTCTCTGGTACGCCATTGAACCATATCCCCCGTGCAAACCCTCGAGTTTTCCTCGTGGTTCCGCCCCTTCCAATTCGCACATACACAAATACCAGAGACCTGGTCCAACTTTGCGTAGTCGTTTTCATTGACCTCGTACTCTCTTTTAGCGTCGTCGTCTTGTTTCCTGGTTGGTGACGTTTTGGTGTATTCGTTCAGGGTTCACCTCCCGTGCAAAATATTTGTCAGGTCGTCCTCATCGTCCTCGGGAAACGCCCCATCTACGCTTTCAAATGTATTGTTTAAGCAAATGCGAGGTTTTCCGATAGCCGTGCTTCCCTTGGGCGACCGCGTTCAACCACTTATCGCTCCCCTCCCTGACCGTGGTCCCGTCGCCCGAGAACACCACCACCTGTTGAAAGGCCTTGTATTCGCTGACTGGTTTGTTTCCACCTCCTCTGGCCCTCGTGCTTCCAGCGAAATGTATGGCTTCGGCGACTTTGGTGACAAGCTCTGAAGCTTTCGAACGACGTTGGCGCCCTATCCGAACATGTACCTTCAAACTATTGGGCTGCTCCCCGCAATACATGTTGCGACTGATGACATGGACCATAGGGGCATTCATGTTGTAGCTCATCTGTACCATCCTGAACGCCCCATCGTCATCAACCGTCCTGGTGCCCATTGTGGAGCTGCGCAGAACAGTCTCATCCTCCCGTGATTGGCCTTGACAGCGGTGGGTGATAACCGGCGTTGAACAATTAAGCAAAGCGGTTCGCGTTCAGGTTTTACCTGGCCCCTCGGGCATCGTGTAACGTTACATTGTGCGCCGCATCGTAGTTGCCAGGGTCCCATTGGGTCGCTGCGGCGGCCGCCGCTGCAATCTCTGCACTCGAACCCACGGGGCGAACCACAGGCTCCGCTACCGTGAACATCACGAAGGACATGTTGGTTGAAAAAGCAGATATGATTTGACCAAAATATCAATGGTATCGGACAAGCATGAAAGCATTTCGAAGTGCATCTGACAACACTAACATTCCCACCCAGTCGCATGGCCATGTTCTAACACTTCCTGCTCCTCCTCCTCCTCCTCCTCCTCCTCCTCCTCCTCCTCCTCCTCCCCCTCCTCATCCTCCTCCTCCTGCTCCTCCTCCTCCTCCTCCGCCTCATCCTCCTCGTCCTCCTCCTCCTCATCCTCCTTATCCTTCCCCTCCTCCTCCTCCTCCTCCTCCTCCATTTTTTGTCTTTATGAACAACTTCTCCCTGTCGCACCCCGAGGCCAGCCAGAAGGGCGGGCCGGGCGTTTCGCCTCAGACTTGATTACCATCTATGAGACTGAAGCTTCAAAACTGGCAACAACTTCACAGATGGAGGGCGGATCGTTTCCAAAATGTGGCTCTCGGCTCAGCGCCGCGCACACTCGTGTTGAAAATGTGCCAGGGCTTCACGTATTGAGGGCAGGTCGTTTCCAAAATGTTTCTCTCGCCTTGGCGCCACGCACACTCGCCTTAACAATGTGCAAGAGCTTCACGGATTGAGGACGGGTGATTTTCAAAATGTGGCTCTCGCCTTAATGCGGCGCACACACGTCTTACAAATGCAACATTCTCACGGGTTGAAGACCGTTATGAAAATACCAGAGCTTCACGGAATGAGGGTGTTTTTTTCCCAAAATGTGGTTTTCGCCGTAGCGCCGCGCACATTCGTTGAAATAACTGCAGAAGACTCACGGATTGAGGACCCCTCCTATACAAAATATGGATGTCGCCTCAGCGCCGCGCACATTCGTTGAACAGATTGTACCAGTTTCGCGGATTTCCATGGCTAACGTGCCAGAAACGGCATTTAGGAAGGATTCTGGATCGTCGAGGCGCGAGAATTACGTTGATTCGCGGTGGTGAAGTCCGAAGAACAATGTTTGGGCACGGTTCCGGATCGTCAAAACGCAATAGTCAGGTTGATCCGTGGCATTGGAGTCACAGGAATGGTGTTTTAACCCGTTTCGGGATCTTCAACCAGTTGTTCCCCAACGGGGCACTTCCCTCAGTGGAAGTGAATCCTTCTACGGGGCCTATTGAGGGAGCCTGGAGGGAGAGTTTATTCCAAGATCGTTGCTGAATATTGGCCTTACAATAGCCCTGGTCCTCCTCACCATCATTATCCTCCTCCTCCTCCTCCTCCTACTCCTCCTCCTCCTCCTCCTCCTCCTCCTCCTCCTCCTCCTCTGGTTCTTCCTCCATCCTCTCCCTCTTGGGGCACGACGGCTTCACAACCTTTGTTCCACCGCGTGCTCCCCCACATGCCCGATCTGGGCAACTCGAAGGGGCAGCGTTTCTAGACGGGCTGGCGGGATTACGCGCATCATCTAGAGTAGTACGAGTCCGCTTATGGCCGCGAACTAGCCAAGCCAGAAGCATGCGGCAGTGGGGACGAGAGTGACGAGGCCTGGGCCAAACCAAGAAGCCCTCTGCCACCTGGCAAACAGCTTGGAGTCCCAAGCACGCAAGCCGACATAAGACCTGTAGCGCTCTGGCCTGGACGATAGTGGTAGACGGGGCGCAGGCTACTGGTACAAGGCCAGGCACTACAGCAGAATGCGGTAGATCGTGCCCGAAATGCCTGGCAGACCGTTGGCATCCGACCTGCGCATCTCACCCAGCATCATCGTCCGAATGCCGCTGGAAATCCAGGGGTGACAAGGAGATACCTGTCATCAGAGCACAGCCAGACGACGATGCGATCCACGAGGCATTCACCAAGCCTTCAGTCTTGCCCTCGACCACGCGACTGGCAGACGAGTACGGAATGACAGTGGAAGGAATGGTGATCGCGAGGACAGCGCCGATCACATCTAATGACTGGGATGCCCGGGAACAAAACAGTCACTACTGCAGTGGTGCCAGGCACTTTGCGACGTCACGCCACTTGGCTCCTCGCTCTGCCCCCCAAACAAAACATCGACGCTGCGGTGCCAGCAATCTGACCAGTAATGCGGACTTCGATCCCGACAGAGTTTTTTCTTCGTGCAGGTCTATGACAATCTCACCTGTGCATCGAGCGCTCGCCGTGGTGCCAAAAACACGTGCACTGCCTTGAGGGGAGGCTTGGGACAGGAAGGAGTGCCGCGGTATCAACGACGAGCGCTGGGTGAGCACTGGTCTCCAGCTCCTCCTCATCATCATTATCATCCTTCACCCCCTCCTCCTCCTCCATCACCACCACCATCACCATCACCACCGCCATCACCATCACAGCCAGCATCGTCATCATCATCATCATCATCATCATCATCATCATCATCATCATCATCATCATCATCATCATCATCATCAGCATCATCATCATCATCATCATCATCAGCAGCAGCAGCAGCATCAGCATCAGCATTGTCATCATCATCAGCATTACCGTCATCATCCCCGTCATCGTCACCAGCATCATCATCATCATCGTCATCATCATCAGCATCATCATCAGCATCAGCATCATCATCATCATCATCATCATCATCATCATCATCATCGTCATCGTCATCGTCGCCATCATCATAATCATCGTCATCAACATCGTCGTCGTCGGCTTCCTCCTCATCATCATCAGCACCATCGTCATCGTAATCATCATCACCACCATTATCATCATCGTCATCATCAGCATACACATCATCATCCTCATCAACAGCATCATCCTCATTATCAGCATCATCGTCATAATCCTCATCATCATCACATTATCATTATCATCATCTTCATCATCACCACCACCACCACCATCATCATCATCATCATCATCAGAACCATCATCATCATCATCATCATCATCATCATCATCATCATCATCATCATCAACATCATCATCATCATCATCATCATCATCATCACCCTGCCTCCCAGACAAACCCCTACAGGGCCGGGGACCGTCTAGAACCCCACCCCCCATCCAGAACGCAATTGAACACCCAAGAAATCCGAAGAGCACTCCTACTCCTGGCATGTCCACCGTCCTTCCTCCCTCTTCCGCCCTCCTCCTCTCCGAAAAGGGGGGAGGTAGAGCGAGAGAGGGCGAGGGGCGACGACGACGACAACAACAACTGCCACCACCACCACCACCACGGCAACAACGCCCATGGCGGCGACCACCACTACTGCGACGGCGACGGCGACGGCGACGGCGACAGCGACGGCGACGACGGCGGCGGCGGCGGTGACGACGACGACGACGACGACGACAAGGACGACAAGGACGACGACGACGACGACGGCGGCGACGACGACGACGGCGATGACGACGATGACGACGACCACGACAACGAGGACGACCATGACGACGACGACCACGACGACGACCACCACCACCACTGCGACGACGACGACGACGACGACAAAGACGGCCTCATGGGAAAGACGAGGGCACAGAGCGGTGGGCGAGCGCACCGCCCAGGCAGTAGGCCAGCGTGACGCCCGCGAGCCACCGCGAGCCCGCAACGGACACCATACATGGGACCTCCTGGGGCAGCCTCCCAGAAGGAAGAGTCGAGGCGGGCGGCGCGCGAGGAGGCGCAACCTCCGCTTCCTCCTCCTCCTCCTCCTCCTCCTCCTCCTCCTCCTCCTCCTCTTCCTCCTCCTCAGACTCCTCCTCCTCCTCCTCCACCTTCAGTTACCCCTCCCCCTGTGTATGGGGTTGAAGTACAAGAGTACAGAACCCCTGATCCGTTGGTAGAGAGATGGAGGGATAGATGGATATCTTTCCCTCCCAAGCGATCAAGGTACGATCGCTCCAACTCAGTACCTGAGCCCAAACGGCCAGGTGCGGGAGAGGTAAGGATAAGGAGTATATATGAGGGTATTACACGGGTTCCACACACACCCCCCGTCCCGAATCCCGCCCGTGAAGGCAGGACTCGGGATCAGGAGGATGGAATCCGTAACCTCAGAACTCCTTTACCTTAAGTCTGAAAAGGCAGCTGGGCTAAAAGTCAGCGAAGCCACAGCTGCAAAGTGAGGTAAGAAGAGATACCTTGGGTCTCTTTTTCTTCTCCAGGCGGTCTTTGCCGCCCCCTCGGTGCGCCCCCCAAAACGCTTCGGCACTCGAGGGAGGAGAAGAATGAGACAAAGGTAGGCGGAGAAAGAAGATCTGAGCACCAAGGCAACGTAAACCGCCTCGCAAGATTTGCGAGGCAGGTGTTGCCACCAGCTATCAGATTATTCTCGACGCAATATTGTTAAATTGTTAAAATATGCATGCTAAGATCGCGTTGACGAACACAATCTTGAAATCAAACACAAGTCTGCCTAAAAGCAAATGTATGCCAAGATCGCGTTGACGAACACGATCCTGAAAGAAATGCAAATCTGCGTTAAAGCAAGTACCTGGCCAGGAGAAAATGTCGTGTTGATGAACACGAAAATGATGTATAAAATCTGTTTGGCGACTCCCGTTGGCGTTGCTCCTTAGGAGGCTGCCTCGGTGATCGCAAAAGATATCTATATGTGTGTATGGCCACTTGTGTGAAAGATTGAAGTGGCCTAAAAGAATGTATTAGCCACCGCTCAAGGCGAACTTTGATGAACGGAAGTTCTGCTCTTGAGCAGTGGGCCTTGCGGCCGACTCACTACGCGTCGCCGTCCTTGTAGAACCTGCGGTCCCACACCCTCTGGCCGTTGTACGTCACATAGCTTGTCGTAAACGTTTCCCAAGTGGTCCTCGGGATCCAGTTGCGGAACCAATCGTTGTACGTGATATCCTGGATGTACACATACTCGTCGTTGTTGATCGCAATGTAGATCCAACATTTGATGTAATAACTCCAGTATCGAAGACCCCAATCGCTGTCCTCGAGATTGTGGCGCCAGTAAGCAGCGTAATCAGATGTACGTGCTCTCTTGGCGCGCGGCATCGCGGGCATGTAGTCCTCTGCGCCTGAGGCGCTGGATGCAGCGGCGTCGCCAGGAGCAGGGCGCGGCGGCGGCCGCGGCGGCGGCCGCGGCTCCATGGCGTCATCGGACTGTTGGGAGTGTGTATCTGGATCGGTTCTCATCCCTGTACTACCCCCCCTCTGGTCAGTGTGTGACGGATCGAGGGAGCCTATCAGCTCGTTGGCAATCGCGGCAAGCTTGCGCTGGGTGAACTGTTCACGGGTTCCGTCCCCTCGAGGGAGAGAAACCGTAATCAGTCCGCGCGCCTGCCGCGTCTGCCTGTCAATGCGTCCCTCGTTCAGCCACCACTTTCTCCGACCAGCCTGTCCTGTCCTAATACTGACGTCAAGGATGTCCCACGCGTCGCGCATGTCCTCGACTCTCCAGGGCTTCTTGCCGACATTCACGCGGGCTCCTGTCATCTGATGATGGAATCTGAGGTCGTTGAGAAAGCGTTGAATGAGATTGGCGTATGGGTAGTACAGAGGTCGGTCGTCCTCGGATTCGCCCATTAATCTGCATTCGTGTGCAGGCGGGCTACCGGCTTCGACCCACTTCTGATACCTCTTCTTGGACGTATTGGCCAATCTCCGCAACTGATCTTTCTCTGTGCCTATGGGGGATCGCGCACCCGTCATAATGACATGTGCGCCATCCTTCATGTATCTCGCGACCTGGTCCTCGGACAACGTCGTCTTGATCCAGTTCGTCAACTTCTGGAGGTACGCGAGGTCACTCTGTGTGGCGGTGCTCTTACCTGTGGCGCCTACGGCCACAGTGTATTGCCAACATATATCACAGAGTGTGCCGTCACCTGTGACGATACCGAGGGACAGATCTCGACCGCAATTGTTACAGAGCGGTATGGGATGCAAGATCGTCTCGGGGGCCCCTGCCGAAGTCAGGTGATCGCGGGATCCCCAGCGGGTGTCCTGACCGCGAGCGAGGCTCTGACCGATCTGATTGATCGCCTCACGATTGATCTCGGTGTTTGGTCTGGAAGCGATCGATCTGCTTAAACCCTCGATCTCGATCCGAGACAACCTTTCCCCTGGCAGTCCTTTGTACTCTATCTTGACGTTGTCGGTATCCTCAGTACCGCCATGGCATACGTTCTCCTCACGAAGACGGCGAGCCTGCTTCTGCAAGGTAGCCTCGTTGTCGCCCTCCTCGCGCTTGAGTCCCGTCTGTTCAGCTATGATGCGTACCATAGTCTCCTGATCGGGAGCTGCAGACGCAACACTGCCTGGGTCCTGGGGAATATCCTGCTCAGCGCCCTCCTCTCGAGGCGCAGCAGGTGTTTCCACCAGCTCTTCCCACACAGGAAACTCTGGATCACCGTATGTCGCAGTACAATTTTTGTATAGGTCACGCAATGCCTGAAGTGCAGGATGGTTGTCATGGATGACTTCCTTGGCGAAATCTGGTAGCTCCACAATACTATCTTTCAAGATGTTCTGGTATACTTTGGAAATCCATTGAAAGATGCCAGTGGTCGACTCCTCGATAGTCTCCGGGTCGAGGTAGTGTACCAACTTTTTGAAGAAGTGATCTGCACCACAATTGGGTAAGTCATGTGCCCACTTGTGGGTATGATTGTAGTTCAAATGATATGACTCCGCGTTCCATGCTTTCGATCCAAATCGAATTTCAAATTGTAAATGTGACTGAATTTTGTCCATTACGATTCTGTCTGCGCCACTGTGTATCTCAATGATCTGCCTCATCTTGATCATAGGCGAATCCACCAATAGCGCCGATGTCCAACAATACACGCGGCAATCATCAGACTGTCTAATCCATCTTGAATCCTCGTCGGGGTCGTAGTCTGGATGATCAAGGAAATTCGATGGCGGATCAATGATGTTATCGAGGATGCTTGCCTCGATCTGCTCTTCTGCTTGGATGTCTGCCGAGAGGTCTGCCCTCATGTTGTCGTTCGCAGCTTTCTCATCTGCAGTAAGAACGATATTTGATATGTCCACGATTACGGTGATCAGTGGATCATGCGATGATGCTGTACCCTGTCGAGGAATGTCGCCCGTCTGAGCGTTGTTCTCGGCAGGTGTGGCCACCAGCTCGTCTGGATCAGGTGTCCGTGGAGCGGGCCTTCTTGGTGGTGTACGCGGAATACGTGGTCTATGGATGCTAGGCATTCCAAGGTATGGTAAGCTGCCGCTAACCTTGTGCTGCAGTATGTCCTCGCTGCAAGATGTCGGGCCTTTCAGGGCAGTCTCCATCCATGTTGGATCGATGGCGTGTTCTTCGATACGAATCGGCAATGCAAATACAACGCCCTTGAGGGGCATGCTTTTGTCATTATACCAGATATTTACCCATCGTAAACCGTAGTTGAGAATAGGTACTTGTACCGCAAAGAACTTGTCGAAGATGCCGAAATGGATGATTGGACCATATATGTGTCCCTTGGACAAGGCAATCTTGGTATTGTGATTGCCTTTGGGCCAATGGTTGTCGTAGTGGAAGCATTTGGTAGAACCCCAATTCTTAATGACAATGAAGTCGCCCATTCGAACATCGTTAAATGCAGGACGACGATCCCAATCTTTTTGCATGATCTTTGCTGTGATTGGTCGAAGAGCTTCACGACAATGTGATAATGCAATCAACCATTCTTTATCATCTGCTTTGTGATTGGTCTCCTGGATCATAGCACGTACTATTTGCTCGTCCAAGGCGTCCTCTGCGGATGTACGGCCAGCAGGGGTTTCCCCCGGCCTGGCCGAGGGTGCTGATGCTGGCGTCATCCTTGGAGGCTCCATGTCTTGGTCGGGGTCGATAGGTGCCAATCCAGGTGGGTCGTCAATAAGTTCTCCAGGAAGGCAGGCGCAAATCTCGTACTTGCTCAATGGCTCTCTGGCTGCCAATGGCGGGTAGTCCCATGGGTCGCCGTCTGGCCACAGCTGCTGGCCATGCATGTGGTGTGGTTTGAGGCGGCGAATTGCAATAATTGCCGCAGCGGGTACCACGTCCTCAGTCATGATAGCGCCCTGAGCACCCAACCAAAATCTGCAACCTGCTTTTGTGGCGATCTCCATGTTGATCACCAGCTCGATTTCGTTCTTGTAGCTGTTGAACTTGTACGATTCCACTGAAGTATGTGGGTTCTTTTGAACGTTGTTCAAATATGTGCTAGAACTGAAGAATGCCTCAGATCGCTGCGATGGTTTATAAGTTCTGTCTTTCTGAGAATGTGGTTCAACATATCCAGGAATGATCCCTGTCTTCAGTATGTTCTTCCAAGCGCGGGATGCTGTTCCATGATGGAGATATTTGATTTCTGTCCACTGTAAGCTCTCCCATCCCATGTTCCATGGCTTTGAAGATGGGTTGACACAACTGTGACCACCGACGCACCGAATAGCAATAACGCTGTTCCAGTCAAAAGTGCTGGGGTCACCTCCGTCAGGAATCGGCTTGGCGTATATCTCGATTCTGTTTTTCTGCGGGTCAATATGCTTCTGGAACGCACGAATAATGAATATCGGATAGTAGTCGTTCCAATCGGTGTATCCATCATTTTCACCGTCTTTCTTGAAATGTGCCACTGCCGCTTCCATGGATGGT